TAAAATTTTAATTAATTTTAAAATTAATACATATTAAATCTTATTATATATTATGAAAAGAAGGCTGAATTATTTATTTATTTAGAATCCGGCAGATTGAAAAAATGCAACAAGTGGGAGATATTTTAAGATGAAGGTCATTTTCTTGTCTCCCTAAATTTGCGCTATTTTATTTTATTTATTTCATAGGCCGACTCCCAAAACAAAGCAAGCATCGCCGACAATCGGTCCCACCCACCACCAATTTGATGTCTATATATCTTACGGTCCAAAATCACTCTTTTTTTAATCTGTCAAATCAGAACCGTAGCCATGTGCTATTTAGTCTTTCCACGTGGCCTAATCTCCACTCTTATCCAACCATCTCTCGACACCACATCCGTACTCTCTCTCTCCCCCCACCCCCTCAGTCCACTTTCTCACGCCGTAGTCCGTCCCGTTCATGTTCCAGACGGAATTTACCGGCTCTACCCAATCTCCATACGCCTCCTAACCTCCTCCTTCTCGACGCTGTTCGTCGCCGGGGAACTGGGTTCCAGCAAAGATTTCTACTTTTCAAAGGAAAAACATCCACAGAGGGAGTGCAGAGATCGGATATTGGTGGTGGTATTTTAATTCATCGTACTCTAGGCTGTCTCTAGACACTGAAACACAGAGGTTTATGTGTGTGGGAGAGAGAAAAGGAGGAGAAAGTGAGAAGATGGGTTGGAATGAGACTGAGGAAGTGGAGAGATTGAGCAACATGATATGGATTTGTGAGGGTTTGGGGTTTAGGTGAAACAACCCTAATTCCTTTTTATCTTGATGATATCTCTGCGGGTGTAATGATTAATTTGCTTTCTAAGTTTGAGAAATTGGGAGTTACTTGTATGGGGAATAGTAGTACTATTCAAAGGATTTAACTTTGTTAGAATTTCCTTTCCTTTAGAGGTAATTATATATGGGATGTGTGAGTGAGGCATGGAAAAGAGGGACACAAAGAGAAAGAGACTGACAGAAGAGAGTGAGCACACGCAGGCAGTTGTATGAGACAGCATACCTTTGCGTGTGTGTGCTCACTTCTCTTCTGCCAGTGTTTCTTCCTCATAATCCCCTCTACCTTACCGCCGTAATACATTAGCCTCTTTTTTTCTTGTTTGTTTTAATTCTAGAGTTATATGTGTGTGTTTTTCTGCAGTGCATTAGCTTCCACGTCTTGTTTCTGCTTTTCAACTATTTCTCAGATGTCTTGCTTCACACCATAATCCGAATGCCCATCTTACTGCCTCATTTCATAAGCAGAAGATCGGTTGCTTAAATGAAATGACACATCAAAACAGGCTTTTCCATCATTACCATTCTGTTGTTCTTTCCTATCAAAACCCATCCTCTCTCTTTAGGCTTTGTCTTTGATTCTATTTTATGTGGGTTAAGGATCTTAATTAAGAGAACAAGAGTAGTATTTAAAAGAAGAGAGAAAAAAAAAAAAAGGCCATTAATGTAGTTTGAGTGAAGTTTAGTACTTGGAGGAAAGTTTGCGGAACATGAGCTCGTTTCTTTTTTTGGATTATGATCAATTTATGATCGTCCTCAACACCCTGGTGTATGTACTGTGTAGCTGTATCCCATCTGTTTGTGTTTATTACTGACTGAAAAGTTTCTCATTTTCATTTTTCTTTTGGATTTTGTTTTACTCTGTTCTCAAATATTTTATATTTTACTTTGAAAGCGTGACTTTTGATGGTCCTCTTTGAAGATGGTGATCACGAAGTGATGAGTTCTTTGAATCTACCCACTGTTCACGTTTAACGGATAACTGTATTTTTCATTGCTTCACCTTATTAGCTTTTTTGCCTTGCAGAAAGCATACCCCTCCTCTCCTCTTATTTTCTTTCACTCTGCTTTCCTCTCTTTTTGAACTTGCTCTAGGGTAAACGGTGTCTCCGGCTGGCTTCTGTGATTCATGGTGTGGCTCCGATTTTGGGTGTTTTTGCTCTCTCTAAGTTCCAACCCAAATGGGTTTTGGAGAAAACCCTTCACAAGGTGACATTTTTGTATTTGATTTGTGTTTTATTTTACTGTCTAGACCAACACAGCCTTAATTTGACTGTGTTTTTCCTTGGGGTTTCTAGGATTTGGGGTTTGGCATCCAAGCCAAGGCGGTATCCAGTCGTAGCTTGAGAGGAACTGATGGATGAACAGCAGTCATTGTGGTAAATATGAGTGGGATGCTTTTGTTTCCCGGAAGCAAATTTGCCCTTTTTCTGGAAGATCTGTCTTCTTTACCTAGCCTATATCTTCTGAATCTGTCTTTCACTTCCTGTTCTTCAGAGCACTTATATATCTTGAATTACTATCTTCCTTGGTGTTTTAGGATATTGGATTTTGCGACTTCTAAGGCACTGCCATAATTGCCATATGAATATGGGAAGGAATCCTTTCCCTTCGAGAGGGAGGAGAGTTAGAGGAGTGGCATGCCTTCTCCTAGTACTCAATGGATGTTCCAAGTAAGCATTTTCAATTCCTTAATCTTATTTATTTCATTTCTTCCCGGTCATCTTTTTCTAAATATTGTTAAACAGTTAATAGATTTTATATTTGTAGCTAGAAATTGGTTGCTTGTGCTAGATAATTTAGAGACTTATGCAGATATAAAAAAAACGGGTTGTTTCAATTAATATTGGTTAAGATATATAGAATATCTTGATGATTGCTTCTAAATACAAATATAAACCATTAGCTATTTAAAGCTTTTTCTCTCTGATTGTTATTAGTGCAATCTTGTACTTATATTTTGCACCACATGATGTAATTACTAAGATCAGCTCTCAGGTTTTAATTCAGGATTCTTACATTGAAACTCAAATTATCATTAGTTAATTTGTTTATTTGTTTTGAACACAATTGATAAATTAGTAATTTGGTTATCTATGAGACCTCTAGTAGAAAAAGTGATAATATTGTACATGATTTCAGGGCCATTAGTTAGATTGGATAACTTGTTTTTTCATCTTACAAGGTGTTTATATATTGGATCAAGTGCATCTATGCTAAGTTGTGTATGAGAGCATTTGAAGTCGCAGTTCAAGTTTGGTGTAAAGTTGATTGTAGAATCCATTTCAGGAGAGATGAAGGGATTTCATAAGTATCGATGATAACTAACTATTATAATTTGTAGTTTATGGTGACAAAAAGGGCTTTTAATTAATAGATAAATGACCATATGGCTTCTCAGTTTGATTTGTTCTTTTTTAAGATCTCAATGTCGATGATAGGTCACTTGGACTTGTCTTATTCATGATGGTGTCATTATATATTAGAAAATATTTACCTTGGATACTTCAGTCAGGAACTTTGATGCGGTAGATATGGATGAGATATTCTTTTTTAACGTCAAGAAATGGGAAAAAAATATGTTTTTGAAGGTTTTGGCAGCAAGTGTATATATGATACCTTGAATCTCTGAAATTGAAATTGATAAAAGAAGTGAGAAGTCGCTATTAATCCACTGGTCAGAAAAGTGTTCACGGATCAAAAGTACAGTGGCAAAACCAAACCTGTAAGAATTAAAGTATTGTCCTTATTTTCAACTTAAGGTGGTGCTATATCTTAAATTTCTCACCCCCTTTTTTCTTTTTTTGGTACTTTGGCTAGATTTTACGTTTGTAAAAGACAGAAGTTTTATGTTAGGTGTGGGATTGATGTATTGTCATTAAGTACAAGAGCTCGAGCGGCACAGTTTTAGATACTTAGAAATTGTTTTTGTTTATACATTCTTTTTTAATTTTCTGAGTAAAGTCATGTTAGTTAAGTACTTCTGATGTTTTTCATGATCTTGAAGATTAGACAGGAAGGACGGTGGGTAAACATCTAGTTCTAAAATTTGTAGTGTACTAGTTTATTTACTTCTAATTCTGCAGGAAGTTGAGAGAATGAGATTTGTGTTGTGTCTCACCCACTTTGCATTTTTTTGCGTATCCATAGCATTATTTTCTTTTTACTTAATGAACTTTAATGAGTTTCTTCTAGGCTGTTTGGTTGAAGAGAAAATTAAAATAAGAAATTGGTTAATTCTTGCCTAGGGTTTTATTTATTTATTTGTTTATTTTTATTTCCAAGAGTGAACTTTTCTTTTTTAATTGAGAAAGAAGCTCATTTTTCACTATTACATAAGTTTTTACTCTAACCTTAACTCTAAATTTAAGGTTTTTGAAGTCAATGCATACCGAATCATCATTAGACCAATAAATATTTGGCAAAATGATAGAATCAGTTAGCATATATAGCTTTCACTTCAGGATGCTGTAAATATGTTTGTATTTAGCTCTCACTTTAGGATGCTGTAAATATGTTTTTCTTCTCCTTGTTTTGAATAAAAAATTACTTGTAAAGTGTACAATATACTTCGAGTAATCTTCCATATTCAAGCAATTTCCTCAATATGTATGCCCTCTCTCTAAGGGAAGCATTAATTTTGTTGTTTCTTATTGCGCTTATTATGAACTTGTCTTAAAAGCTAATTGAAACAATCTTGTGAACCTTTTTGTCAGTGATAATTTTACCATATGCAATGAGGGCCAGTAATGAAGTATGAAAATTAGTTCAGTTCACCTTTGAAAAATTTTCATCAAAGATTTAGTACAGGTGATATTTCTTTATGCTGTTGTGCAATGAATGCTTGGTACAATAATATTGTTGGCATGATAGTGTTCTATTAAATTGATGGTGGTTGGGATAGTGATTGCAGGAGAGGTTATGTCAATATCATTGAAAAATAGAGTGGATAAATTTAGGTGTGGAACTTTTTATGTGTGGCTTTTGGAGCATTGAGTGGGTAGGGGCATGTTTATATCAAATCTAGAGACTCGACAAGTTTTGAATCAAAACAAAATTAGCTAGACAAGTTTGTCAAGCACTGCAACTGCACCTCTCATGCATGGATTCAAATTAGATACTATAGTTAAAATGTCATTTTTTTCCTGATCTCCTTCCACATATAAGGATAGTCTGGGATAGCAAGTAATATCTGTATGGGAATTGGACAAGAATTAGGACTTCCAGTATTTATAGATTGATCAAGTCTTTCATATTCTTCATTTCTAATTCCTTTGAGGAGTAGGTGAGAAGTTCCAAATATATACTGGTGAGGATATCTCCTATATATATTTGAAAGGGGTAAATAGCATAAAAAAGACGTAACACACATAGGGCACCAACCTATGACGAAGGTACAAGCTTGCTATTGGTTGAAGAATGAAAAGATAGTTATGAAGAGGTCAAAAACCTTAACATATCTCTCTCTAAATGTATGTGTGCGTGGAAAACTAAATAATTGTGAAAAGATAACATTTTAAGTTGATCTAACATCTATAACAATTCAGTGGTATATAGCCTGAATAATAGAATGTGTGCTTGTTGATGTTGAAAGTTTTTAGACAATAAAATGTCTTTGTGATGCAGGTCTGATCTAGAATTTGGAGGAGACGAGAGATGGAGATTTAAAGAAGACTTCAAGAGAGACAGTTTTCTGTTGTTCATGACATACCCTTCAATTACATTCTCTTTCTATATATACCCCTAGAATGTACGACTGCATTAAGCCTAAACTAGCATGGTATGATGCACTTAATCCTACTATATTATATAAAAGGCCTGTATTGTAAGATACCAATATGATTTTCAGCAAATGTGTATGCCTGCAGAAATTTTGCCTGGACTGATATGTTAGCTGAGGAGCTGAACTTTAAGACGTCGTGGTGATCAAGATGATTGATTAAAGGGTCTTGGTACTTTTTGCAATATGTAGCAGTGGTTAAGTAATCTCCGAAGTCCTCCTTTGAACGTTGCTAACATCAAGCATAGAGTGAGATAAATATAGGCTTCTGTTCATTTTTTTGGGGGAGAAAAAAAAAAGAAGGCCGTTCAGTACATACTGTGATATTTGACTAAATAATCAAGAAAATATAGGAGAATTTTTAATGTTTGATTGAAATTGCAGTAATAGTTATGTGTTTGAAAACGGATTGAAATCATTTTGTAGAGGGAAAGGATTCAGTTGAAGCCAGCCAAATGATGTTCTTGGTACTTCATAATCCTTGAATTTAACGTAGAATCAAGATTTTGAAAATTTCAACGGATAGAGACTCCACTGAGCTCTTATTATTGTTTGCACTTGTGTGGACACTTTAACCTTTTTTGGTTGAACGTATTATAATTTGAGGATATAAAATTTGAGTTTGTCTTAAGGTTAAAAAGTGTATCCTAGGAAGATTATATATTGATCGGATCACAAAATTTAGTTGTGTGTAAACACTGTAATTTGTTTGGGATAAATATAAGGCAATGCATGTCTTATTGTTTTGGTGGTCAACCGTATAACCAGTAAAATAATTAAAACGTTGCAAAAGTACAACCTTCTTCTTTTTTGAACCTCACATAATTTGCACATCTAAATTTATAGATTTAATTTAATTATATTAAATTATAAAATATAAATTATTTAATAAAAAAATTTTAATAATTAATAATTAGTGTTGTATCGTCTGTTATCATTTGGATAGCATAATATTTAGATTTAAAAAAAAAAAAAAAATCCAAAGTAACAAAATAAAAAGGAAAAGAGGACAGCCGAAACGATGGGCCCATCTTCAACTCCCCAAAATGGGCTAATTTTGAGCGTTAATTGCATGAGAAGGGGTTGGGACTTGGGATTCTCGCAGTTGACATGCCCTACTCGGGTGGGGTAGTCCCAAAAAAGTATTACAAGATAATTAATTTTATTATATTTAATTATTAAAAGTTATTAATAATTAATAAAATAATTAATAACTATTATTTAATAAATTAAAATTAATTTATAAATTAATTTTTTAAAAACACTATAATTATATTTTACAGAAATTACAAATATTAATTAAATTATTATATACAAATTTAATGAGGTTAAGAATTCTATTGTACGATGGTCATAACAAAAAGCCCTCTACTTTGTTACTTTGTTACCGTCTTTATTTTTGGGTACATGTTACCGTCCTTTTTGTACTAAGGAATTGTTCATCATAATGGTCTTCGTCTATTTCAATAATTAGGTCACATCACATCTCGTCCTTTTACTTGCAGTTGCAGCAAGTGTTCAATCATCTTCCCTTCAAGGACTCTGTTATGATTTGAAATTTTGAACCAGCCAATAGGTTTAGAGGTGGCAATGGCCCCCCGTGGGGTTGGGGAGTACTCCCCACCTCCGTCCTTGTGATAGGATAAGGATTCTTGTTGGATCTTTTTAATGAGAGTAAATTTTGTACCCAAGAAAAAAAAAAAAAAGAGAGTAAATTTTCCCATCGTCCTTGCTTTTCGGAGGAGATAATAATTCGGTAAAATATTCAAATTCACTCTCAAAATATAATAGTATGGATAAATTTATTTTAAATAAAAAAATATAGATAAATTTATCTATAAAATTTTTTATTTAGATAAATTACCTCATATTTAATGCGTGACATCATTTAACATCAATAATTTTTTAATTTATTATGTCGCTAATAAGTTTATTGATAACGGGTTATTGACGTTAGATGATGTCACATGTTAAATTTGAGGTGATTTGTTCAAGTCAAAAATTTTGTGTGTGAATTTATCTCTACTTTTTTGTTGGAGGTGGATTCGTTTCTACTATTATATTTTAGGAGTGAATTTGAGTATTCTGTATAAGGATTTTTGTAGCAATTCCAATTTTTTACTCATTTTTGTAAAAATGTAAACTTTTTATATATAATTAATTAATATTTAATTAAAATAAATAAAAATTTAAAAATTTAAGTTTAATTAATTAATTTTTTTAATATAAAATTATAATAATTTATCTAAATATAAATAAAAATCAATCGAACATGAATAATTAAACTAATATAGGACTTGTATCTTGTATAATAGTAACAACATTCAAATTTCACCTTTATAAGAATACAATTAGTTGTATCCAGTAAGGTTAATGTATGAGTAATAAAATCAAATATAAATTATCCTAATATAAATAAAAATCAATTACAACATAAATAACTAAACCAACATGAATTGGATCGTCTAAAATAATGTTAAATTTAATTTTTATTGAATTAGATTTAAAATATATTATGATATATTGAATTGAATTAAATTTAAAATAAAATTAATTCATATTTTTTTTTTCACAAGAATAGGGATCCCTATGAGATCTCTCATGAGGCGAGAAAAATTTCTAGCATAACTTCATGAAAAAAACCTTGTCCTGTCCTTGCTCATGGGAGGAAAAAATACTCGTCTCTACTCATGAAGAGGAACATTCCTCCCCGCTTTACCATTGCGGTGGGGATCTCGTGAGGCCCCATAAAGATCGAGAAAATTACCACCCCTAAATAAGCTAAATAATTCAGTACAAAGCATAAATGTTTGGATTTAAATGATGGGAAGTTTACATTCATTAATTACTTATAAATTTACTTTTATCTCCTAAAATTCTCTATGTTAAAAAAAAAAAAAAAAGATTCCGTTAAAATTTGACCGTTATCTCCCACTATCAAAATAGAACCTTATTTTATTATTGGTTAAACCTTATTTTTGGTCCCTCAACTATTATATAGACCTTCAATTGAGTCTCTTAACTCAAAAAATTACTAATTTAATCCTTACAATTTCTAATTTTAGCCCCAAGTTGGTCTTTTCGTTAAAAATTTAGTGACGTGTCCGGTTAACTCACAGGAGCATGATGATATACCAAAATATTGTAATACATCAGCTGTATACATGGAAAAAAGATAATATGATAACAAAACACGTCACATTCTCGCTCAACACAAAAAAAAGGGGGTCCACCTCTACACAAACTTACAACATCTCCCCCTTTCTTCCCATGAACAATCGAAAAAGAACTTAGCAGCTATTGGGTTCTTTCAAACCTAGCATGCCTGAGTTTGGAAAAAACCCAACAAGCTTGGGTTCTAAAAGAACCTAGCAGACGTCGAGATTGATTGAACCCAACAAATTCTCTTGGGTAAAAAAATCAAAAAGGTTTTTTTGTTTTTTATGGGTTTTGTTATTTGATGATGATGAAGAATATAATTTTATTTCATAGAATTGATTGTTTAATTCAAAAAAATAGTGATGAAAGTAAAGTCGAAGGAGGTAAAGAAAAAGAAAAAGAAGAATGAATGAATGAAGAAAATTTGAGAAAGAAGATGTTGGAGGAAGAAGATGAGGATAAAATTGTGATTTTTAATGGATTAGATAATTATATTTGTTTTATTACATAATAAGGTTTTTAGCCACATTTTTCATTTATCCATGCTATCAATCCTATTTGTTAAATATTTTTAGAAATTTTATTCTTCTTCTGTCAATTAACAGGCCACCATAGTGAAAATTTAACAGAATGATCAATTTGGGGTCAAAATTGAAAACAATAAGGACTAAATCAAGGATTTTTTGAGTTAAGGGACTCAATTTTAGGTCTATATAATAGTTGAGGGATCCAAATGGGTTTAACCTTTATTATTTTTTAATTTTAAAACTTATAACATTTATTGACACGTTATTTTTAAATTTTTTTTAAAATATATAAAATCTTAAATAAAATAAATATTAAATATATAAAGCATATTTTATATATTTTTAAAATATTATGAGATTAAAAAATTTTACAACTATAACTATAAATTAATATTGTCAAATTAAACCCAAATCCCTCTCTACACACATGTACTATTACTTCTCTTTTATTTATTTACCGTCACTATAAACCCAAATTAGCTTTTACATAATCTCTCGTTTAAATTTTTAAAAGATTTTAAAAGGCATCACTCATATTAATTAAATATATTTAAAAATTAATTTTTATTAATTTTATAAAAATTCAATATTTATACTTTATTACAAAATTTATATTAAAATTAAAACTTAACTCACATATTTCCATTTTATGTTTGTAACATGAGATTTTTTTTCACTTAACAACGAACGAATTTTATTTTTTTCTCCCCTCGCTATCAACCTACCCCCAAAACCTTCTCTCTTATTATTATTATTATTTTGGGGCCAGGTCAACCCCCATCTTTTCTTTTCTTCTGGATATTTTGCTCAAAAAAAAAAAATTTTTTTTTCTGAGAAGGAGAAAATTAAAGAAGAAGAAATCATGATTTCCCTGTAAATTAAGTGAATCAAAAGGAAAATATGTATTCTCTCCAAAATGGAAATGAGAAATCTTATTAAAAGGCAGAGGAAGTAAACAAGGAAAGTTTTTTTGCAAATATTAATTAATTAAGATTTGATTATAATTAAAAAAAAAAATCTAAAACCCAGCCTTTTGGTCCTTGATTTCCTTCATTTATCATTCCTTCCAAAATTTTCCTCACACATATTTAATCTCCAATTATATACATTTCCCTTTATTTGTCATGATTTTATTATAGGGTTTTGCTAGTGGCCGCACATTCTCCCTTCTCCCCGGATAATCATATTTTCATCCTATGTGTTCTTATTATTATTATTATTATATTGGTGAGTGCTGTATGTGTTCTTGAATATTTTTTGTTCCTTGGTTATTTTTGCTGACTAATCTTTCGATGTTTTGCATACTTAATGCATTATTTTCCATTTCCCTTTTACTAATTTGTTGTTATTGTTATAAATTCTATATACTTTCTCTTCTTAAGCCTGTTTGGTTGAGATGATAATTATTTTGATTAATGCAATTATTATTTTTTTTAAAAAATCTTCTGAAATGACATATTTTGAATTTATCTAGGGTTGTGAACTCCTTTGGATCTCACATTGCTTGTGTTAGCAACTACGTGATTGTCTAGTGGAATCTCCATCTAAAATATAAAATAAAAACTTGACCCATTTAAAGTTTAAGTTATACATTAAAATTATACTATATTTTTTATAGTATAAATTATGCATCAAATTATTTTTTTTATCATAACTACTCAATTGAACTAATGGTTTGTGAATTCAAAAAGTCAATAAATTATGCATTTGATTTTAATTAGGGTATTAGTTTGACTAGTCAGTCCAGTTTAATTTTTAAAACAATGACATATATGGAAGGTGTAGGAGTTTATTTTTATTTTTACTTTTTAATTTAAATAATATAGTATGCTTAGATCAAGTTTGATTTGAAGAAAAGGAGAAGAGTGAAAATTCCTCTATTTAATTAATAAAAAAAAAGTTTAAGGTATCTTTTCATTTCCCTCTTCTTCCCTCCATTTTTCTCAAACTAAACATATTGTGAAAGCGATATTAAGAGAGCACTCTAAGCCTGATTTGTTCAAGCAAAAGAAAATTTAAGTTAATTAGAGAAATATTGGAAAAAAGAGTTGTTCAACTTTAGCGATTTAGTAGGGGTTATTCCCTAATTTTGTTAGTTTCTACTTTGGGCCGAAAAACGCATAATTTTATTAGATTTGGGCCACCGTCCTTTTTCTTTTACCATTTTTGGGCTTGCCCTGATATTGCCCCATCCATATTAGAGCCCTTTTATAGTTTTATTACTTACTTTCTTCTCCGAACTGATAACAGTTACAGAGCGCCTGTTGCCGTCCGTGGTTGACCTAGTCGGAGTCGCCGGCGTCCCGCTGCAAGATCACGCCTTTTTCATTTTTCCAGCCGGTTTCCGATCGTCTTTACTGGAGCAAGATGGATCCAATAAGTCAAAATCATCCCTTCCAATTCTTTATCCGATCCCAGACTGGAACCCAAACCATAACCTTTGATCCTTCAAAATCGGTAACTCTTCGCTATCTCAAATCTTCCATCCTTTCTGAATCTCATTCCCTCTCCTTTTATTTCACTCTTAATGGCAAACCCCTCTCCGATTCGACACCTCTCCCCAATCCCCGAATTGCGCCTCTTTCCACTCTCGTTTTGCTGCCTCGCATCCCAGGTGGCGGTGGCGATGGCGGAGCAACGGGGGCAGAGTCTCGCGATTGCTACCTTAACATGTACGCCGAGAAGAAGCCCGACAAGGTCGATCCCAACGAGCAGAGGCTATCCAAGTGGTTGAATTGTGCGTTGTCTAATGAACCCCTGAAGGAGCCCTGTGTTATCGATAAGCTAGGGAATATTTTCAACAAGGAAGCTCTCGTGGAGGCTCTTCTGGTGAAGAAATTGCCTAAAGAGTTTGGCCACATAAAGGGTTTGAAGGATATGGTAAATATAAAATTGTCCATGATTCCTGGGAAGGAATTGGATGCTGATGGTGCCAGGTTTCAGTGCCCGATCTCCGGTTTCGAGTTTAACGGAAAGTACAAATTTTTTGCATTGAGAACTTGTGGGCATGTATTGAGTGCAAAGGCATTGAAGGAGGTGAAGTCCTCTTCTTGTTTGGTGTGTCACGAGGATTTTGCAGGGTCAGATATGTTTCTGATCAATGGTAACGATGAGGAGGTGGCAGCTTTGAGGGAGAGAATGGAGGAGGAGAAGGCAAAGATCAAGGACAAGAAGGCAGCAAAGAAGGTAAAGAATAATGTGGAAGTTGGTGTCAATGGTAAGGATGAAGATGCTGGATTGGATTCATCGCGAGGGACAAAGAGGGTGCTTGATGTTAAGAATGTGAAGGACCTGAAGGAGAAGCAAGGTAATGAGAAGCTTGAGAATGCCATTAATGGAGCCAGTAATGGAGCTGTGAAGAGGTTTAGAGCCGCAGATATGGCACCACCTAATGCCACAAAGGAAGTCTATGCCTCGATATTTACTTCATCAAAGAAGTCTGATTTTAAGGAAACGTTTACATGTAGATCTCTTCCACTTGGTCGAAATTGATTGTTCAAGGTCTATTCTGGTGCAGGACATCTTTCTTAAGGTGATGTCTATTGTCTTAGTGTGATGCCTTTTATCAGCTGTAATTTGCAGTTAATTTATAGAAAATTTTCATGTATTTGATATTAACTTGCCTTAATTGTATTGTCCAACTTTTAACAAATGAAATATACTTTATCTAATTGACAATTCTGTTATAGCTTTAGTTGCAATTGTGAAGTGTGATATATTGCTTTTGGATCAATTGTTTTAACAAATTAAGCTTCTCAATTTGAGTATGGTTTTGCCTTCTTATACTACAAAGCGGTGAAAATGAATTGATTGAATTTTTTAGAACAATTTTGTGAGAGCAACAAGATCTTAACGCCCTGGATCAAAATCTGCCTTGTGATATTCTCAGCAGACATACTTATGTTCAATATTAGATTTGTCTTCAGAGTGTGGATGCTTGTGTTTAACAATAATGTGAATTATATCATTATGTGAAAACATGTGTTCAATGAAATTTGGATTGGTTATATTTCCTCTTTTAACTTTTTTATTTTTAGGAGTTTCATTTGAACTTATGTTAAGGTGGCTTGCTCATTATAGTTCAAGGATGACAAGGAATGATCACACCTGCCTCTGCCAGAGTTTGTGCTTGTGTAGCAATGGTAATAGATGTTTGAATTCTGACTCTTGCTGGAACAACACAAATGAAATAGCATTGCAAAATAAAAAATAAAAATCTAAATGAAGAAGCTGAACACCTCATTCTTAGAGCATGCTGTCTACTCTAGTCGGTAGACGTGCGAGGAAGTTAAGTGGCATCTGTGGAGGTCCAACCCGCAACTTGGGATGCCTCATCACAAAAAGGCCCCATGCACCGACCAAAATCTTGAGAGGAATGAAGTAGGTAACGATGCAGGCAGCGAGACAAAACACAATAACCAGAGAAGTTGCTCTGGGATCCCTCCAGTTGAGCGGAGAAGAAAGCCTCTCCATCAGTATTGCTATTTCTCCCAAGTAAGACGTATTCACCGCTACAAAGCTCCTCAGCCAATCGTATTTTGCCCTGAGAACATCTCCTTGCCTGGACGATGGGTACTCGTCGAACTCTTCATCCAATGCTTCACGGCCTATCTTTTCAGCCAGCGAAAGCTTCAAATCCATGTGAGGAGGATGCCTAGGTCGATACCGGAAACTCCATAGCCCCACCAAAACAGAGTAGGAAAAAATTGTGGGCAATATCAATTCCGGATTGTTAACTAAAAACAAGAAAATCAAATGAGCAAGAATGGTTAATATGGGATTCTGCCAGGTTTGTATGCCATCAAACCATTTCCAAGCCAAAACTAATCCTCTGAGAGCAGCATTGATTCTGTCAACATTAGCTTTATATGTCCTCTGGCTACATTTATCGAAGAAATTTACGTCGAGCATACACTCCACCACTTCCTTCCTCAAAGCCGGCTCCACCTGGGACAGCTGCTGAGACACAATCTTGGTCGCTTGCTTCGTTAGGTAATGGATTTGACACGAAGTCAGGGGATGATAATAATGCATTTTGGGAAGCTTAGGCTGCAAGTAACTGGAAAGCAAACCCGTGAAAGAATAACAAGTGAACCTTAGAGCCAGCCGAAGTTCCCCCAAGTTCTTCACTCCATTGGGTTGCAACACTATAAGTGGATAAGAATGGGTGTAAATTCTATCAGTCTGGAGTGTAGTTAGTCGAATTCTAACCTTCCCCATCTTCCCATCTCTTCCCCATCCTCCTTCCAAATGACCATTATCGAAAACCCCAATTTTAATGACTGTATATGGATCATAAACCTCCCAAGCGTACTGTTCATGCCATAACGGAGCAAGACTGTCAACAATCGTCCTCGTCCTCACCCATTTTGGTCCATATTTGGCTACACAATAAGCATCTGTGGTTCCTTTCTGGTTTCTCCACTTCATTGGAAGCAACCCTGTAGCATTCAAGATACCCAATTCCAAGACTCCAATGGGGGGTCTCCATAACATCTTATCTGTTGGCCTGAAATCACTAGAGAAATGTATGGAATCATCCATAACATGGTACCCTCCTTCCAATGAAATCCTTATCTGAAGTCTACTAGTAAATTTCTCCTCTGTTTTATCTTCACCCTCCCTCACAACCCGCTCTAGATTGTACCATTCAGCAGATGCAGCAACGGGAAGAGCCCTTTTCTGCACTTTGGATAAAGGAATCGCACATTTCCCCAAACTCTCCTCCTTATCGTATCCAATTCTATTTTCTACGCTCAGAATCAATGAATCATCAAATGGTTCTGCCGCCACAAACATAATCTCCTCATTGTTCCATGTGGGGTTGATACTCTTATCCAGTGAAATACTGCTTCTTACAGCCGTATTATTCCTAAGGAATGCCTTCACAAAAACCTCCGGTTTCCTGGTCTTATCTCTGAGAACTAAATCCTGTGCCTGAATTATGTTGAGTCTAAGGTACCAAAGTATCGGGGAAAGGTACACCTTGGAACGAGTATCGCCGATGCTTTGGCTTCTGATATTTGCAACATCTGCGTGCCAAGCTTCGGGGAAAACTTGGTCGGCCTGAGTCCCCATCCATATAGCCATCATCAACTCTCCTGATGATCTCTCCCCTTTTCTTCCATTCTGATCTGCCAATTTGAACCAAAGAGGGGATGGAGCTTCCTGGCGAAGACTGGTAGGAATATCCGGAACATAAAAGCAAACAACTCCTATGATCCCACCGCTTGCCTTGTCCATTACAAAGACTTCCAAAGAACATGCTTGAATTCTTTCTTTCGAGAATGCAAAGACCTGTTTCCATTCGGGGTTGGCTTTTTTCTCAAAGTGTTTTGTTGTTCCTCTGTAGCTTCCAACTTGCACTTGAACAAAAGGGTCACAGTTTCCCGGCAACCCTCTGGCTCTTACTATTCCTATGTAGAGAAAGTGAAGTTGCTGGACGAGATTGAATGAGGACGTGAGCTTTTCTTCTGACATTGTGGAAATAAAAACTGCAAAAATTGGACAAGATGAATCAATTTGACAGAGATTTTTTTTTTTTAAAGACTTTTTTTTTTTTGTCTTGGAATTACTTTTATAATTGTTAGATCGAACACCAAAAAAGATAAAATAAAAATAATGTATTTTTCGATGGAAGACCAGATATATTAGTGTTAAGTACAATGTAATTCACTCCATAACAAACCAAATTAACAGAACTAGTTAAATTGACAAAGGAAAAACTGAATTAAAAGATGAAAAAGAA